TACACCAAAAAAAAAAATTTGTTCGTCCTTCCCCAGCTATCAATATTTGCACAAAGTTCAGTACAGTTTCTGGATTTATTTCACAGCGGGAATATCTTTCTATACACATGAAGGATTTGCTGGACAATTGTGCTGGTATGTCCTCACCATTCTGTTTGCATTCCCATGGCTGCAGTCAAGTAGTACTTGTAGTGTTAAGTCAAAAAAGTTTGAATGGTGACTAATCTCATTTATTCAAAAAAACATGGACACTTTCACATGCTTTTTGAAGGATTCACTCTCAAAAATGTTCTGAAGATTGTGTGAAATGTTTGGAGCATTTAGGTATTGCACACAGGTAAAGGGACTTTCCTCCCCCAAAAATGTACATGCATACCAGCAGCACACAAATATTTTGGCCTGGAAAAACCAGAAGTTGTTACTCCTTCTAAGCAGTAGTTTTCCTATAGAAGTGGACAGGTTTTACCAGATATCACAGCTTTCATTCCATCTCCAAGGCTCTTGTCTTCAATTAATGCAAAATATTGATTTGTCTTCTGATATCTCTTTATGAATATTGAGTATCAATTTAAACTTAGCAATCTTCAGACTGAGTTTTAATCCTCCCAGCCAAGCTCTGACATGAAACTTGGTCTACAATATGCTCAAAACGGTTTCTTCCTCAGACAACCAAGCCTGCTACCAGGACACACTCAAAGGTTCTGCTCAGTCACACTCTCATCTGAACTTCGTGCTGTTTATTCGGTCAAGTAGTCTTAAAGCTCTGGCATTTTATCTAATTCTAAATTAAACTTCTCATAGGAGGTAATTATTTTCTATGTCAATGTCTACAACCTCTCTTCTCTGGGCTCAGTAAGTGCAGATGTGTTCAGGACAACGCTGCTGAGGTTACCTCACTGAAATGGTGATTGAGACCCATCTTTGAGGCTCTTCCCTCTTGCCTCATGAACTGCGTTTCTGCACCAGATTCTTATGGAGCCTTGCTCTTCCTACCACTGCTACTGAACTAGAGAGTGGCTGACAAAACCCAAGGCCAGAGTTCGCTGCTCTGACAGCACTGTCAGTGTTTGCACACAGTCAAGGTGTTTGCCTCAGAAATACTTGACATCTTCTTACACTTTGTGCTTTCAAGCCCAGCAACTTCTCTCTCATCTTCTCTGCTAAGCAGAACCACCTGAAAACTCACATTCCCCAGGGGTGCCTGGAAACACTTGACGAAGAGGCTGGGCAGCTGATGTGCTGTTACACCACCTTAGTGGTGTACCAGGAAGAATTTTCCAAGGGCTGATTCCTTTCTCTCACTTCAGTAGCCCCACCTTATGCAGTAGGCCCAGTCCAAGTCTCCCTGCTTCTGCTGTAACAACACCCTAAGTCAGGAGCAGTGCCTCTGTGAGGGGAAGACTGCCACCCAACCTCAGCTTTCCTGCATTAGGTTTCCCTGCCCAGGCTGGATGTATTTTCAGTGTGTTGGCAATGCCCTAGGAAGCCCTGCTGGCAGATTTGTTGAGCCTGTCTGCATACTCAGTCGACATAGCGGTTTGGTGATATGACTTGGAGAAAAACTGTAACCTTCTGTCCATTTATAATACTATCTCCTCAGTTTTCCACCCCCTGTGTTTATCATGGTCCAGAGTTCCCTGCTGAAGGAAGGTACGATCACTCTGTACTTGACACAAGCCTGACAGAATCAGTTGGTTCAAGACCACTTATGTGGTCCACTTAAGTGGAGGCAAATGTTCCTCTACGTCATTTTAGTGAAAGAGAAACCATAGCAATACGGACCTCCCCAAACTTTTGTAACACAGCCAAGATTTCACCTGCCAATGGAAAATACTAAGATTTTTTGGTGTTACCACTGTGCAGGTGAGCAGAGCAGGCCAAAGCCACTTCATCTTTTCTTCCAATAGCTAACTTCCTTCTCCAATGACAATTCTGGAGTTCCCAAGAAAGTTGTGACAGAATATAGTAAAGAAACATTTTCTCATACACTTTTTTCCACAGATAATAAAGCTGATTCTCAGCCTGTTGACAAGTTACCAATAAGACAGTGATTTCAGACCCAGGATTGAAATATGTATGATATACTTTGACAGCCAAAACCAGACTAAGCTGAGAGAAGCTATGATCAGAAAAAACAGGACTAAGAAAAAAACCTGAACACCTGCTGCAGATTTCTGTGCTAGTGCCAGATCCCAAAACTGAGGATTATCTGCAAGCCACTGCTTTTTGTAAGGGGGACCATAAGTAGATTCAAACTACTCACAGAGAACAATACAACAGAGAGTACAAATCCTGACATAATTCAATTAAAGAAAGCGGGTAACTAAAAAGCAAAACTGTTTCATGGCCTCTCAGACTGCGCACTCTGAACACACCAACTGATTATCAGATATGACTGCAAAACTATTACTGAAAAGGAGAAATTGTGGTCCCATCAAAGTCAGAAGGCCTTCATATTGTCCCTACTAAGTTCACATAAGCAGACCAGCTATTAATTCAAGCTCTAATATTCTTGAACAGGGAGAATAAAAGTCCATGACATGAAATGCAAAGCTGCTCTTTTGCTATATTTTACATTAACCAATCTTTCTGCTCTTTCCCTTCTGAAATATCAGCTCTTATTTTAAGTGCCCCTGAGACCAGAAAATACCCTTAAGTAACAGATGAGATAAAATCTATGTCACACTGCCAGTGTGACATTATCTGATTGTGAGTGAAGTGTACAGTGATGGGTTATGCTTTATTTCATTCTCCCATTAGACAGACTACACGGATTAGCTACACATGGGAACTATCCTGCCACATACACTCATCTTGGAAGGAATGGGATTTTAATTACATAAGATAGAAGAATGCTCAGTTCTTGCCCACACAGGAAACATTTGATTAGTAATGTCAGGTATGGATGAAGGCGGTACTCTTTCATACCTACAAAAACATACTGGTGCCTTGGAGAACAGAGGTAAGGACTTGCCAGAAAAGTGGATTATTTCTGGTTCAAAAACTGACATCTTTTGGCTTAGTAAGGACTTTGCCTTCTGGAGTTTTAGCAAATCTTAGGGGCTGGCACGATGTGAATCCTGCCTTGATGAACCTCAATCTACACTTGCCACCTTTCAGATTTTCAGATAAAACACTCATCCACGGCAGACATGACCAGACCACCAGAAGTGGGCATTAAACACACTTGGATACCTAAACTTTAGGCAATATTTACTTGTGTAGATCCTCTTAACTGTTATTCTAGCTCCCCTCATCAGAGACAAAGATCATCTTCCCCAAAATCTCTACCTAGTTCAGAGTCAACATGGTTGGATTACTCAAAGACTATGCCTTCTGTTTCACAACTCCTTTCACTACTTTCTCAGCAGCCTGCTCCACTGGAAAAAGAAAACTGTTTGCAGAGCCGGGAAAAGAAAGTTTTCCTGCAAAAACGGGATGAGATGCCACGGGACTCTGAGGTGCCCAGTGGGAAAATGCGTGTCTCCTTGACAGACTTTTCCTGCCACAAATTGTCCAACTTGTTACTGTCTTCCTGTCTTCTGTCAACCAAAAACATAAACAAAAAACCTCCCAACACTTCAAATAGCCCAGCTGTCACAGATACGTTTGCCAGAGGTTTTAATGTTCCAAGAGGAGGTTAGTTTTAGCAGGAGATACTTACAAAGCTTGCATAATGTAACAGCAAGCAGCATTATAAAAACCAGGTGAAAGAAAAAAAGAAGGTCAAACGAAGTGTCTCTAGCTTGGCATAATGAAGGAAACCTCCTCTGCTGTACCCGAAACCTAGTGCTGAGTAGAGGCTGGGTGAACTGTGTCTCCAAACAACATAAAGAAGAGGATACATTGGGCAGTGCTAGTTTGTAAAGATTATTAGCCCAAAGGGATACCTTCTGCTCTGAATCACACGCATCCTCCCCGAGGGCTGATGGTTGAAGTCTAGACCAGCATCATGTTGGTCATGATGCATTAAGCAAAACTAATATAGGTATATTTAGAAAGTTTTACCCTAATGGGCTTTCTGTTAATTTATCTGTACAGGCAAAAACCCCAAAGGGACCAAAACCCCAAACCCAAACAGGAAAATTGACTGCTTTTCATATGCTTCTTTTAAAACATTTGTCTCCAAACAACACGGAATTCAAAGAAGTTGGTAAACTAAACAGTAACTGCAGCTATACATTGCTGTTGCAAAAAGCTAAGTGTATCTGTAGATACCACTAGGCTTTCTGACAAAGTAGGTGGCATAATACAAGCTCTCTAGGAAAAGCATCATGAGCTCATATGTGTTTGTACAGCACCAGGAGTCTTGATCTTGACTGGGGCGTTCGGCTGACAGAAATAAGTAACTATGATATGTGGGGCAGCCTGCTCAGCTGTGACCCTTCCTTTGGGTCGACCGACAGAGTCCTGCCCCTGGACACCTACAGAAGACGAGCGATCAGTGGCATGAATCTTTGCACTTAATACTGGGGAGGCATAAGAGAAGCAACACGTGCTGCTAAGCGAGCGAAATGTCCTCTCTGATCAGCCCTGAGTAAATACCTACAAGTTTAGACAAAATACCCCGCATGAAAGTTTGTCATCTGTTCAACTAAGCTAACTGATTTCTGGGGAAAGGAAGGGACAGAAAACCTGTTTTGTAATAGGAGAGATAGCCTCACGCCCTCCAAAAAATGGAGGGGTGAAAAAAAAAAAAAAAAAGAAGAAAGCGACAGCTGACCGAGAGCCTCGCAGGGTTTCGGGGCCCGTGGGAGGGAAGGAGCACAGCAAGACCGAACTGCGGTCGGACAGCCGAGGGTCTCCAGGCAGCGCCGCTGCCCGCGCCGCTCCACGGGGCCGAGAGCTGGGCGAGCAGCCGCCCCGGGGCGCGGAGGGTCCGACCGGCCGGGCCGGGCCGGGCAGGCGGCGGGCGCCGGGAATGTGCCCGCTACGTGCGGGAGCGGGAAGGGCGCGGAGGCTCCGCGCGGGGCTCCCACCGCACCTGCCGACGGGCTTACCTGTGGCGGACCCGGGTGCCTCGCCCTCCTCCGGCGGAGCGGGCTTCTTGCCTTTCCTCCCCTTCCTGCCGTTGCCGGCTTTTTTCTTCTCGGCCATCCCGGCTCCGGCCGGCACCGCGCTCCCCGTTGCCTCCGCCATCCCCGCGGTCGCCCCCTCCGCCGCCACGGCCGACGCTGTCGGCTCCCGGAGCGCCCGAGGCTCCAGCATCGCTCGTGCCTGCCGCCTGAGACTTGGAGCCGCGAGTTCCTTGGAAGTTTTTGGAAACTCCTCTCCGGCCCTTTTTTTTTTTTCCTTCACTCCCCCTCCCCACCCTCCCTCCTTCTCCACCCCCTTTTTTTTTTTTTTTTTTCGTTTTTCTTTTCCCTTTCCTTTCTTTCCTAATAATAAAAATAAACTCCAGCCCACGTACACACCCCCTCGGCACACGCCTTAACTAACGCCCGCCCCGGGCACCGCTCGCTTGCTCTCGGGAGGAGCCTCCACGGCCCCAGGGCGCTGGGCGGCCCCGGCCCCAGCCCCGGGGAGGGCGCAGGCACCGCGGCCCCGGCGGGCCGGGGCGGGGCAAGGGCCGGGCAGGGCAGGACGGGGCGGTGTCGCAGCCTGGTGCCGCCCCGCCGCTCGGCAGAGCGGGGCACAGCGTGCGGGAGCGCCTCGGGGACAGGCGCGGGCTCTCTCCCGCGGGTGGCCACAGCGAGGGGGTCGGAGAAAGCGAGAGGCGTCTGCGGTGCTCCTCAGGGTGCTTGCGCCCTGCCACTTGGGCACCTGCTTAAAGCTGCGGCTTCCTCTTAACCTGCGAGGTTACCGGCGGCGCCGCTCCCCCCGGCGGCGGGGGATGCTCACGGGAGAGGGGGGTTTTGTAAGACTAACGTGCGCTCCCCCACCTGGTGCCTTGCAAGGGGGTCCTGCCCCCGGGGAGGTCGCACTGTTCGCAGTGTGGGTCCATTTCTACTTCGGTATCTTCTCGCGGGGCTGATCCCAGAACCACCAGTTCTCACAACCGAGAGTGTCGGTCAGGTAGAGCTTGGCTGCAGTCCATGGATGAAACTGCACCCAATACAGCCGTACTCGAGACAGCTGTAAAGTAACTGGCAGCAGTGTAAATGCACCAAACTGAACTTCACCGTCATCTGGAAAACTTTAAGGAATCTGTATATAATTGCTCAGCACCATATTCCCTGCTGGTGCAGATAACTGTTGTCTGTAGGAGTTGCGCTGAACACCGTTAGGTGGGAAACACAACACTGAAAAGTTACAGAACAGATCTGCGCAAACTACTTAAAATCCCACAATGGAAGGTTTTCCCTGTATACTTGGAAAGGTCGTGCAACAGAGAAAAACAGATGGGATCAGAATGCAAAACTAGGATTGCTACTTTGCAGTTCTTAGTGATTCTTCCTTCTCTTGAGGAGACAGTTACGCATGTCCCTTAGCCTGAAAAAAACCCATTTACACTGATCACCATGCACAAAAAGTGCTTTTGAGTTGGTTTTCTTTATTCTTAGATTGAAATAATTAAAAAAATCTTCCCATATCGGGACCCAAAAAGACAAAACACTCTGAACCCAATATATACTGGGTTCTTCCTCTTCTTGGCTGAAAGTTTTGAGGCTGGGTTTTTTCAAGATACTCTCTTGCAGCAAGAAGCTTTTGAAGAAGCAGTGGGTAAACAGCATTTTGAGTTCTCAGCATTTGGACTTTGAAACAAACAGAAAAAACCCCCAATGTTATCTCAGTCCTGTCACTGTGGTAAAAGAAGAGCAGCGAACTACACCAACTGCAAAACATTAAGGCAAAAAAGTTATACTTCCTCAGAGCCCTGGTGATAACAGCATTAGTGAACAAATCCAATCAAGGCGGGGGGAGAGCAAGTGGGGAAGGAAAGACATGGGTACAATTCTGAACACGAAAAGTTACAGATGTGTTCGAGTCACATTTTGGATTTCTTGACTGACAGCGTTACGACATCCTTTCTCAAACATGCTGCGCCGAAATTGAGGGAATAAGCCCCAGGGCGGGGAGAAAGAGCAAGCCTCACGGAAGAACAGCTGGAGATGGGAAAGATCCTACTGCGGCAGTAACTCGGTATTTCCTTAAGGGGTCACTACTCAGCAAGGAGGGAGCCTACTCTGGCAAAACGTAAGGGACTCTGTTGGCTATCGAAGTGTACTTTTAAATAATCTCGGTATGACCTGTTTTTCTGTACGCCGCAAAATCTAAATAATCAAAGTAAACATTATCTTCAGGCCGTGTTCATCAGCATTAATCCGTCATCTCAGAGAGTTATCAGCACTGAGGCCCTGTGAGCAAGCCGCAGGATGGACCCCCACCAAAGACTCTTTCTTTCTGGCAGTGTGATACTGGGGCAAGACCCCAGCAGCCTGAGAAGGCATTAAAAATGAAAGCCTAGGAACACTACTCCAGACTCCTGAATTCCGGCACCTTTTCTATTAGAAGTGGGAAATTTCTTGAAAAAACATATCAGAAATGTGCTCTGGAAATAAGCCTACTATTCCGAGAAGAAAGGTTATAATTCATTTTAGGCAATGTGTCGTAGATCCACTGCAGAAGGGTGTGATTTACTTCTGTATACCTCAATGCCAAAGAATTAGGCATTGCTTGTAGCACATAAGACTGCCTCTCCTCCTTTGCTGTCGACAGCTGTGAGATACTTCAACAGAGTGGGTAGGAACTGATTTAACACTATATTAAAATTGCCATTTTACCCCCTCAGAACTGTGAGTAGAGAGCTGGCTTGTCAGAGGTCGGTCATAAAATGCCCTAGGTACAACAATCTTCTGAGCTGACAGTTCCTACAGCCAAAGGACAGTTTGAACTTCTGGAAATAGAGCAATGCAACCATTTACATGATTTCAGTGGAGTGGAAGCCATAGCCCAGGCACATTTCCCAATCTCATAAAAATTACACAGCTGCTTGGGGAACAGCAGTCAAACTTTCATGTACTTTCATGGTCGGTTCATCATAGGACAGGTAAAAGAGTGCTGCCTGCTTGTCACCAACGCACAGGCAGAGACCATGTATGGAGCTTTTACTCATTCATCTCCTTGTTCTCTCCATCCATGTCACCTTCTTCAGTATACAAATTAAGATCTGGCTATGCCCAAGCTCATCTCAGTGTTGGTAGTCTGGCTATTCTGGACCTCTGCACTTCGTGAAATTATTTACATCACGTGAAGTGAACGCAGAACGCTGCTAAGTCTAATTTTTCACTCATATATATACACATCTGCAAAATGTAATGCAGGGAAAAAGAGGCAGACCAGTAAACAAAAATAAACAAAAAGTGCTCCAGAGTAACAAACAGTTTAATAAAATGTCAACAATCTGAATTTCTTTTGCTTCTAAGTTCATTTTTACAAATATTCTGGTCATAGAAAAGGGGCCTAATTACAAATACTTAGAAATTGCAATGCCTTACCAAGAGAGCAAAAAAATGGTTTGAGACTTTTTATTTTCCTTTCAGAAAGTGTACTCATTTAACAAAATCAGTTCCTGAATTAACAATGAAGTTCGTAGCGTAACCCTATTCTCAGTCTTCTCTTAAGCTGAGGACTGCCTTTTTCTCTTTTTCTTCATTTTGTACTCATTTAAAACCCATGAAGACAGGTGGGAAGGCTATCTGCGTAAACTGCCTGTCACCCCTCTATTGGTAGCAAGAAAAGAGTAAGAAATATCATCCTAAACAGAATTAAACAGTAAAGATGTATAGTAACCATAACTGTGAATGAAACACATTCTTATATTAAGTTGGACTCGAAATTCTGTCAGCAGCTGAGCACCAGGTCTTTGACATCAACTCAGCTGAGTCAGGATAACAGTACCTTTTGTTCTACTGACCTTATGAAGATGCGAATCTTGATTACCCAAAAGTATCCCAACAGTGGCTTAAAGGTCAAGCCAACATCTTTGGCAACAGCAGCAATTGTGACAGGTGATGACGTCCCAATAACGTCTCTTTTCAGGAAATGGCACATTTCAGAGTTGTTTGTACAAGTGTCTGTATATATGTTGCTACAAAACAAGACCTGATGGCCTCCAATTTACCAACAGTTTTTAGCATGTAATGTTTCAGAACTTTTTAGATCATCCAGTCACAACTATAAATATATACATATGCACATATATATATATGTATATAAAAACAGTGCTAGCCCCATTAGTGTGCAAGACATTGATGCTGTTTGGTGTGGGCTGAATAAAACATATTTTTGTACAATTAATGAGCATCTTCCTCAGAAACACATCCAGCCAAAATTTCTACAGACTACTACACTCCTGTAAAATGTCAATAGTTATAACCAAGGATATGGCCTGTGAAAATAACTAAGTAAAAAGGCATGGAAGGTGAAAATCTATTAATAGGAATAATTTGGCAGCCCCTGTTTGAATCCAAACTACTCCAGCACTTGCAGTGAGGACTCTGAAGGCTGACAGCTCTCTCATTTCGTCGATGTGACTCCACTGACAAGTGTTCAGTCCAGACATTGTGCTCTCACAGAAAAATATCCAAATTAATTTTTAAAGTGTGTATTAAAACTTCATTCAATTGCTGGGTGGATATTCTAATTCAGGACAAAAAAAATTATGAAATTAAGTTCAGACCAATTTTCTTGGTAAGGTAATGAAGTCTAATCACATTAAAAGCACCTTTGATTAAAAATGCTGAAACAGAGCTTTAATGCACTTTAACAAATTCACATTAAATACATAATTTTTTTGGATCCAGACTGATTTTTCTCTGTTGGCAAGAGTTCAGTGGCCAAGTGTGATAATCCCCATTGTCCTGGAGCACTCACAATAGACCAACAGGTCTTCCAAATTAGACTGGCACACTGTATGCATAAATCCATGGTTAATTTGTACCCCACCACAACCAGCACACAGTCCTTATCTCTGTGGTGACTCATACCAGAACATACCAACTCATACCAACCCTTCCAAGCCTGTACCTGCATGATCAGCAGTCTCAACCTGTGCTCTGCCCAGTGAGTTTAGTGCTGCTGTTTCTGTCTCTGGGCCACCATGTCGCACAGGTTTGTCCGTATGTCTGTACCTTGAGTAGTCTTAACATCATGAGCATGGTAGAATTCTGGATTCTGTGATACCCTGTGACCCCCCTCTGCTGCAGCAACAAGCTGACCTGTCCCGCAGTAAGCTGACTGACAGAGCACTGGCACCAGCCTGCATCCCTGCCGTACTGCAGGACCAACAATTATGCTGCAGAGAGAGGGCAATTAACCGAG